CCAATTAGTTCTTTTTGCTTAAGATTGCTTTGTCTATACGAGGTCTTCTCTGGTTTCATACGAAGCAGGGAATTATTTTTTCTAGATCTGTAAAGAATGATGATGGTATTTTGATAGGGATTGCATTAATTTCATAGATCACTTTAGGTAGTGTGGACATTTTAACAATATTGATTCTGCCAATCCATGAGCATGGCAGGGTTTTCCATCTGCTTACATCTTCTACAATTTCTTTTCTCAGTCTTTCGTAGTCCTCCCTATATATGTCTCTCACCCCCTTCATTAAATATATTCCTAATTATTTAATTCTCTTTGATGCTACTGAGAAAGGTGCTGTGTCTTTGATTTGATTTTCGGCTGGACTATTATTGGCATATATGGATGCCACTGATTTGTGTGCAAAGATATTGTTATTACTGCCTATTTTATTGTATAAAGTGGCCTATGAAGTGTCTACCATGTTTTTACATTGGCCAAATAAACTCTCTTTTAAAAATGTTTTATAAAATGGGGGAAAAAATCTATTTGATTAGCTATTGGCACATCAACGATAAAAGAATAGAGAAGCATTAATAAAATTCTAGGGATTCTAAACTCAGATCATGTCACAAAAACTGGAAATTAACAATGTAATCATAGGCTGGGTGTGGTAGGTCACGCCTGTAATACTAGCACTTTGTGAGGCAGAAGTGGGAGGATCACTTGAGGCCAGGAGTTGAAGACAAGCCTGGGCAACATAGCAAGACCTCATCTCTACAAAAAAATTTTTTTAATTGGCTGGGCATGGTGGTGCATGTCTGTAGTCCCAGCTACTCAGGAGGCTGAGGCAGAAGGATCACTTGAGCTCAGTTGTTGGAGGTTACAGTGAGTTATGATGACCCCACTGCACTCTGACTAAGGCGACAGAGTGAGACCCTGTCTCAAAAACAAACAAACAAAAAATAATGTAATCATGTGTACAGATTATGCAGAAAGGCAAGCAGAATCCCATGAGTAGCCTCATACTCAAAGAATGTAACCCTTGGCCCTGTATGAAAAACACAGGAGTTTTACAGCAGGTAACAGCATGGTTTGGATGTTGAGGGAAACGTTCTCTTGATACTCATGCACGAGACACCAGGAAGGAGAAATTACCCACTGACCAAACTGTTACTCAAAAGTTATTTGTTTAAACTTAAAATATTTAAAGCGTATGTATACCTCTTTTAAAAATTTCTCCCTTACCCCACATTTCTGATTGACCAACTAGGTCTGATGACACCAGTAGGAGAGCTTCTCTGTTTGCCATGGCCAGTTTGCAGCCAAAGGCGGGAGCAGAGCCTAGGCTGGGGAAGAGTGAGAGGCAAGGAGAGGAGAAAGGAGAAAAGGAAAATGAATGAATTTATGAGCAAGAACCTGTATCTAAAGAAAAATACATAGAAATAGACAGATGATTCAATGGTTGAAAATGGGAGAAAACATTGACTGGGCATGAGTACTCTCCCATCTGAAACTGGCATCCACACGGATATTCACTCCTTTTGGCTGGCACACCTGGGACATGTAGTTTAATACGACCAGCTGGGATAGCACTTTAGAAGCACTGGAGAAGAGTCCATGAAATTCATATATCCACTGTGACCCTTCTGAAATTGTCCATATTAAAATAATGTAGAGCAATAAGGTATAAATAGTAATCAAGATCTGATTTTTATAAAAGTATAGATAGAGCCAGAAGTTAACTAGCCATTGTTCCTAACTTCCTTACTGCTGTGACTGGTTACTGCTTAATGGCACTATCCTCCCTGACAGGTGCAAGATTGTGACTTCCCCCTTAATTCTCTAGATAACACTGCTATTTGAAAGCCTAAGACTGGTGCTTCTATAGATAACATTGCTATCGTAAAGCCCCAGACTTGTGATTCCATAGATAACACTGCTATTGTAAAGCTTAAGACTGGTCTTTGAGGTATTGTTCAGACTCTGCCTTCCAGAGGACCCACTGACATGGGAACAAATCCAACAGCCTTGAGACCCCCCACCCAGGAAATCTCTCAACTGAGAAGATAATATCTGCATCCCAATCCTATGAGTTCATCCCCCACCAAGCAGCAGGCCCAATTCTCTAGCCCTTTGTTTCCCAAACCTCCTTAAAAAGCTTAGTCCCCAAATTTTCAAGGAGATGGATTTGAGAAATTACTCCCATCTCCTTGCTTGGCACCTTGCAAAATAAAACTTTCTCCGCTGCAACACCTGCTTTCTCAGTGTATTGGGTTCCTCTTAAGCAGCAGGCAATGAACCTGGTGGGCTGTGACATTTTTGGATGCTCCTAGATGTCTATAACTTGCCCTCAATCTCAAAACACCTTTCCCAATATAAAATGTGATGATGTACTACAAGACACAGCATATTAAGACATATCACAGGAGAGCCACACAGGCTTAAGACAAGCTTAGAAAGATAAACCAGAAAAATTAGAAAATTATTAGAAAAATAAACCAGAAGATTAAAAAAACAAGAAATTAATGAACTACTGATTTCACATCTAGTTCTTCATCTTTCAGATAAACATTATATCAATGAATAGGATTGATATTGTTGAATTACATACTTTTGGACTCTTACTTTCATACTATATCTAAAAATAGCAAGTGAGATCATGAAAAAAGTAAAAACCTAATCAAACCATATAAGTTTCTACAACAAACAGGATGAGAGTTAAAAAAATAAAATGAATAAAAAGAAGTTTATACAGAACAACTATATCATACATATCTTTTAAAAAAGCACTAGCCATATAATAAAAAGAAAAATAGGTTATATTAAGAACTTCTATTCATCAAAATACATCATTAGAAGAGTGAAAAGTCAAGAAGTGCAGGGGAGGCCGGGCGCGGTGGCTCACGCCTGTAATCCTACCACTCTGGGAGGCCGAGGCGGGCGGATTGTTTGAGCTCAGGTGTTCGAGACCAGCCTGAGCAAGAGCGAGACCCCGTCTGCACTAAAAATAGAAAGAAATTAATC